AAATCCCAGGAAAAGCCAGGAAATCCCAGGAAAAGCCAGGAAATCCCAGGAAAAGCCAGGAAATCCCAGGAAAAGCCAGGAAATCCCAGGAAAAGCCAGGAAATCCCAGGAAAAGCCATGAAATCCCAGGAAAAGCCAGGAAATCCCAGGAAAAGCCACAAAATCCCAGGAAAAGCCAGGAAATCCCAGGAAAAGAACAACAGCAGTGAAATCCCGGGATAAGAGCAGTGGAATCCCGGGAAAAGGTGTAAAAAAAATCACAGAAAAGGAATAAAAATCCCCAAAAATGGCTGTAAAATTGCAAGAAAAGCCATGAAATCCCAGGAAAAGCCAGGAAATCCCAGGAAAAGCCAGGAAATCCCAGGAAAAGCCAGGAAATCCCAGGAAAAAGGCAGTAGCAGTGAAATCCCGGGATAAGAGCAGTGGAATCCCGGGAAAAGGGGTAAAAAAAATCACAGAAAAGGAATAAAAATCCCAGAAAATGGCTGTAAAATCCCAGGAAAAGCCACAAAATCCCAAGAAAAGCCAGGAAATCCCAGGAAAAGCCACAAAATCCCAGGAAAAGAACAACAGCTGTGAAATCCCGGGATAAGAGCAGTGGAATCCCGGGAAAAGGGGTAAAAAAAATCACAGAAAAGGAATAAAAGTCCCCGAAAATGGCTGTAAAATCCCAAGAAAAGCCACGAAATCCCAGGAAAAGCCAGGAAATCCCAGAAAAAAGGCAGCAGCAGTGAAATCCCGGGCTAAGAGCCGTGGAATCCCGGGAAAAGCGGGAATTCCCACCTTGGGCGCGGGCGCTTCCTTCTGGCTCTGGCTCTGCCTCAGTTTCTTGAGCAGCACCAGCTTGGCCTCCTCCAGGCGCAGCTCCTCCTGCAGCTGCCGGATCAGCCGCTCCCGCTGCTCCGGGCTCCGCTGGAAATCCGGGAAAAACAGCAAATCCATGGGAAAAACAACAAATCCACCGGGAAAGAGAGGAGACGAGGCACGGTGAGAATTCCCGCAGGATCCGGAGGTGTTCCCGGTCAGTCCCGGGTTGTTCCCAAGGATTCGATCCCGGATATTCCCATCCAATTCCGGGTTATTCCAGGTTCATATTCCTGGTTATTCCCACCCAATCCTGGGTTATTCCCAATGATCCAATCCCAGTTATTCCCATCCAATTCCAGGTTATTCCGGGCTGATATTCCCACTTATTCCCACCCAATCCTGGGTTATTCCAGGTTCGTATTCCTGGTTATTCCCATCCAATTCCGGGTTATTCCAGGCTGATATTCCCAGTTATTCCCACCCAGTCCCAGGTTATTCCCAATGATCCAATCCCAGTTATTCCCATCCAATTCCAGGTTATTCCCAATGATCCAATCCCAGTTATTCCCATCCAATTCCAGGTTATTCCAGGCTGATATTCCCAGTTATTCCCACCCAATCCTGGGTTATTCCCAATGATCCAATCCCAGTTATTCCCACCCAATCCTGGGTTATTCCAGGTTCGTATTCCTGGTTATTCCCATCCAATTCCGGGTTATTCCAGGCTGATATTCCCAGTTATTCCCACCCAGTCCCAGGTTATTCCCAATGATCCAATCCCAGTTATTCCCACCCAATCCCGGTTATTCCAGGCTGATCCCAGGTTATTCCCAATGACCTAATTCCAATTATTCCAGGCTGATATTCCCAGTTATTCCCACCCAATCCTGGGTTATTCCCAATGATCCAATCCCAGTTATTCCCACCCAATCCTGGGTTATTCCAGGTTCGTATTCCTGGTTATTCCCATCCAATTCCGGGTTATTCCAGGCTGATATTCCCAGTTATTCCCACCCAGTCCCAGGTTATTCCCAATGATCCAATCCCAGTTATTCCCACCCAATCCGGGTTATTCCAGGCTGATCCCAGGTTATTCCCAATGACCTAATTCCAATTATTCCAGGCTGATATTCCCAGTTATTCCCACCCAATCCTGGGTTATTCCCAATGATCCAATCCCAGTTATTCCCACCCAATTCCGGGTTATTCCAGGCTGATCCCAGGTTATTCCCAATGACCTAATTCCAATTATTCCAGGCTGATATTCCCAGTTATTCCCACCCAATCCTGGGTTATTCCCAATGATCCAATCCCAGTTATTCCCACCCAATTCCGGGTTATTCCAGGCTGATCCCAGGTTATTCCCAATGACCTAATTCCAATTATTCCAGGCTGATATTCCCAGTTATTCCCACCCAATCCTGGGTTATTCCAGGCTGATCCCAGGTTATTCCCAATGACTCAATCCCGGTTATTCCAGGTTGATATTCCCGGTTATTCCCAGCCCATCCTGATTATTCCCAATGATCCAATCCTGGTTATTCCAGGCTGATCCCAGGTCATTCCAGGCCAATATTCCCGGTGATTCCCCCCCAATTCCCGGTGATTCTGCCCAATTCCCGGTGATTCCCCCCAATTCCCGGTGATTCCCCCCCAATTCCCGGTGATTCCCCCCAATTCCCGGTGATTCCCCCCAATTCCCGGTGATTCCCGCCGCCATTCCCGGATTTCCGGGCTCACCAGGAGGCCGGGCCCGGGCTGGGGGGGCCCCGCGGGGTCCAGCCCGTTCAGCCGGGGGCTCCCGGCCTCGGTGTCCGACAGAACGATCACATCCGGAGACACCGCGCGCCGATCCCGCCGGGAATCCCTGCCCCGGGAACGGGAATGGGAATGTGGGGATGGGAATGGGGATGTGGGAATGGGAATGTGGGGATGGGGAGGGAATGTGGGGATGGGGATGGGAATGTGGGGATGGGAATGGGAATGTGGGAATGGGAATGTGGGGATGGGAATGTGGGAATGGGAATGGGAATGGGAATGTGGGGATGGGAATGTGGGAATGGGGATGGGAATGTGGGAATGGGAATGGGAATGGGAATGTGGGGATGGGAATGTGGGAATGGGGATGGGAATGTGGGAATGGGAATGGGAATGGGAATGTGGGGATGGGAATGTGGGAATGGGGATGGGAATGTGGGAATGGGAATGGGAATGGGAATGTGGGGATGGGAATGGGATGGGATGGGAATGAGAACAGGATCAGAACAGCCCAGAGAACCGCGGCACCATCCCAGCCATTCCCAGAGATCATTCCAGCCATTCCCAGAGATTCCAGCCATTCCCAGAGATTCCAGCCATTCCCAGAGATCATTCCAGCCATTCCCAGAGATCATTCCAGCCATTCCCAGAGATTCCAGCCCCATCCCAGCCCTTTCCCAGCCATTCCAATCCTTTTCCAGCGTTTTCCAGCCCTTTCCAAACTCTTTTCCGTTCCCTTTCCAGACATTTTCCAGCCCTTTTCCGTTCCTTTCCAACCTTTTCCTGGTCCCTTTTCCAGGGAATTCCAGGGCTGGGAGAAGGGCCCAAGGCAGGAATTTCAGGAGCGGGAAAATTCCAAAGGCTCAGGAATGTCCTCTAGAGGGCCCAAGGAGCCAGGGAATCCCAAATCCAGGGAATCCCAAACTCAGGGAATCCCCAAATCCAGGGAATCCCCAAATCCAGGGAATCCCCAAATCCAGGGAATCCCCAAATCCAGGGAATCCCCAAATCCAGGGAATCCCCAAATCCAGGGAATCCCCAAATCCAGGGAATCCCCAAATCCAGGGAATCCCCAAATCCAGGGAATCCCCAAATCCAGGGAATCCCCAAATCCAGGGAATCCCCAAATCCAGGGAATCCCCAAATCCAGGGAATCCCCAAATCCAGGGAATCCCCAAATCCAGGGAATCCCCAAATCCAGGGAATCCCCAAATCCAGGGAATCCCCAAATCCAGGGAATCCCCAAATCCAGGGAATCCCCAAATCCAGGGAATCCCCAAATCCAGGGAATCCCCAAATCCAGGGAATCCCAAACTCAGGGAATCCCCAAATCCAGGGAATCCCCAAATCCAGGGATTTCCCTCTGGAAGTGCCACAGGCTGAACATTCCCAGTTTTTCCCTGGAGTTGGGATAAAGGCTGGGAATGAGAAATTCCCAAACTCCTCTTGCTGCCGGAATTCCATCGGCAGCCCAAGGAAATTTGGGATTGGGATGAGCAGGAATTTCCCCTGGAATGGGAGGAGCTCCCAAAATCCCGGCCGGGAAAAAGCGGGATGGGCTCCTTTCCCAAAGGGATGATCCCGCTTTTCCACCTGTTGCTATCCCGAAGTTTGGGCTGGAAAACTTGGAATTGGAGCTGAATTCCCGAAATCCGCCGGATTTGGGGAATTTTGGGAACCCAAAAAACCAAACCCCAAACCCCTCCCCGATAAAAAAACCGGGATCCAACCCCGAAGAATTCCCGGAATTCCGAGGAATCCTCACCCTTTGGAAGTGCTCATATCCACGGGTTCATCCCCGGCCGGCAGCTCCACTTTGATGGTGGCTTTGACTTCCGAACTTTTCAACATTCCCGGGATTTTCCCGGCTCCGGGATCCGATTTGATTTTCATCTCCCCCTCGGAGCCGAGCTCGGATCCCGGAATTCCTTTGTCCATCCTGAGTTTTTTATTTTCCGGCTCCGATTCCCGCTCCAGGGCGCGTTTCTGGCTCCGGGTGCGGCATGAGTCCTCGCTCATGGTCAGGGCCTGAGAAAAGGACGGGAAAGGGTTAAAAAAAATCTGGGAATGGGAGGGAAAAATCCCGCTGGGAACGGCGGGAAAATGGCACGGAGAAAACGGGGGGAATATCGTGGGGAAAGGGTTAAAAATTATGGGAAAGGGGGGAAAAATCTTGGGAAAGGGGGGAAAAAAGTCCTGGAAAATGGAGGAAAAAAACTTGGGAAAGGGGGAAAAAAATTCTGGGAAAAGGGGGGAAAAAATCCTGGGAAAGGGGGAAAATCCTGGGAAAAGGGACAGAAAAAATTCTGGGAAAGGGGGCAAAAAATACTGGGAAAATGGGAAAAATATTGGGAAAAGGGGGAAAAAATCCTGGGAAAGGGGGGAAAAAATCCTGGGAAAAGGGGAAAAAACGTCTGGAAAAGGGGGGGAAAAATCCTGGGAAAGGGGGGAAAATCCTGGGAAAAGGGACAGAAAAAATTCTGGGAAAAGGGGGAAAAAATACTGGGAAAGGGGGAAAAGAATCTTGGGAAAGGGGGGAAAAAATCCTGGGAAAA